GTCTGGAACGAGGTCAGCACCCAAAGCAGTGACCACATTACTCTGGCCGTCACCTGTGAGTTCCCCTGGTTTCCTCTTTCTGATGGGTCATCCATTCTCACCCAGACTATTCCAATAGCTTCCTAATTAGCACCCACGCCTTCAGTCTCACTCCCTCTAGGTCATGCAGTGCCTGAGATCAAATCCAGCCTCAGATACTTACTAACTATGTGACCCTGGGCAAGTCATTTAACTCTGCCTGCCTCAGTTTCCTCATCTGTAGAACTGGAATCATAATAGCACGTCCCTTGCAAGGTTGTTGTAAGGATCAAATGAGGTAATCATTGTTAACCACTTAGCACAGCACCTGCACACAGTAAGCGCCATAGTTACTAGGACCATCTCTAATCCATACTCCAACCGGATGCCAATTGATGTTCCCAAAGTTCAGGTCTGACCATGTCACTCCCCTCCTCAAGAACCTTCACTGGATCCCTATCCACTGGATGATAAAACAAAAATCCCTTAGCCCGCTAAAGCCTTCCCATCCTTTTCTCCAGCAGACTCTCACTGGCCTTCACATCATCCCTCTTCCCTCAATCCTTCAGCCACGCTGGCCTAATAGCAGTTCCCTAAACTCAGCCTTCTGGTTCTCACCTTGTCTTTACTCAGACTGTGTCCCGGGCTGGGGCTGTCCTCCCATCTTCTCTTCCCTTCCCTCCTCAATCCCTTCAAGATTCACGCAGATACATGAGGTTTTTCCTCCTTTCCTCAGCCCTCATTTGTTAATGATATCACCCCCTCTAACTAGCACTTTGTCTTGACTTATTTGTAAGCGTGTCCCATTGGCCCCACACCAGACTGGAGAAGGAGAAAAGAGATGGTTTGGGTTTTTGACATTTGTTCCCAGCCCCTCACCCAATGCCTCTCACACAGTAGGTCCTCACTGTAAAGCTCATTGAACAGAATCAAGTCCTTCCTTCCTGTCTTCACAGATGGGCCAGATCAGGTGAAGATTACCCAGGAGCCTGGATCTCACTTGGTCCATACCATCAAGGTCAAGGCCAACTCCACCCTGACATTAAGGTGTCAGGCTGAGTCTCACCCATCTGCCCGGTTCGACTGGCTGTTCAATGACTCCGTGCTGGTGATAGACAGGGATGAGCTCATGCTACAGGGGGGGTCCCTGGTTCCAGGACACTATACCTGCGTAGCACGGAACAGCTTGACAAAGAATTTTGCGGTTACCGCCGTCTACATTGAGCCCCTTATAGAATCACCGGGTGAGTCTTGCTCCATCTACAAGCCCCTTATGGAGTCACTCTGTGGGTCCTGGGGGCTGCTGTCCTCTCAGAGGAGGAGCCATTGAGAATCCCCACCTTAGCTGGGTTCCCACCCAGGTGACATTCCAGAATGGTGGGTTCGGGAAGGATGCTTAGGTTAGAAATTATTCCACCAGCTCTCTCTAACTTCTGGAAAAGGTCATAGAGCAGAGATCTAGAGCTGAAAGGAAACCTGGGGATCATCCACTCCAACCCCCTTTTTTTTTACAGATGAGGAAACTAAGGTACAGAAAGAGAAGTGATGGACAAGGTCACAGGCAGCGAGTAGCAGGGCCAGGATTTGAACCCAGAGCTTCTGACTCCAAAACTATACTATGCTGCCTGTCAAGATCGAAATACTGGGTGCATCTATTTCCTTCCCCTTCCCCCATCTCCAACCCCTCCACCAAAGAGCCAACAACAAAGTCCGAGGTCCAAAGGACTAGTTTCAGAGGCTAGAGAGACGATCGGTTTCTCCTACTCATTCCCCAGCATTTAGTGCTCCAAATGGGTGGTCCTCTGGCAGGTATTGCCACGACATCAATGAAAAGTGAAAGCAGAGCCTAGCACAAGCCTTATTCATCCAAGTGCGGAACATCTGGCTGGGTTCCAGGATGATGGAGAAGGGTGCTGAAATGTGGCTGATCCGTGTATGTAGATAAATAAATACAAAGTCATTTCAGAAGGAAGAGAGTGCTAACAGCTAGGGGAGGTGGTGAGGGGCTGGATCAAGAGAAGCCTCCCAGAAGACATGATGTCTGACCTGAGCCTTGAAGAATGCTGGGAATTCTGAGAGGCAGAGATAAGGAAGGAGGGAGTTACAAGCACGGAAGATCACCTGAGTAAAATCACAGAGACAGAAGATGACATGTTGAGTCTGGGGAAGAGGTAGCAGATAAGCTTGCTGGGAATAGAAAGCCACCTATGGAAAAACCAACGATCACCTTTAAGATAAGACCTAAGACTCAATTAGCCAGCTATTAGGTATCCCCAGGGATTTGCCTTTTCTGGTAAAGACATTCTGTACCCACTGCTTTTAAAGGTAGAGGAAACAAACTTACATTTATTCTAATACCAATATCAATGATAGCAATAGTAGTTATTTATATAGTACTTAAAGGTTTGCAAAGTGATATCAGTTCATACTCATGACAACCCTATGTCATAGGAGCAAGTATTATTCCCATTTGACAGATGAGGAAACTGAGGCTGAGAAAGGCTAAGGAACTTGTCAAAGGTCACTAAGCTAGTGTCTGAGGTGGGATTTGAACTCAGTTCCTCCAGCCACCAGACTCTGGCCTGACTCCCGTTGCTGTCTCTCCCTACAGACACCTCTTCTGGTGGCTCTCGCTCCTCACTCACCTTCGTCGGCATCCTAGTGGGAATCCTGGTTGTGATGGCTCTTCTCAGTGTCCTGGCCTATCTCCTACGCAAAAAGGCACAAGGGTAATGTCGATCCCAGCAATGGAGACCCTTTCCTCCACCCTGGCTACAATGCTGTCACTAACACCCGTGACAGCCAGCTTTCCCTTTGGGAGGCTTGTTATTACTTCGTGGATGGGCATGGTTAGAAAATGTTCAGAGAATGCAAGGCTGGGGGGGATAGATTACATGTTGGACAAGAGGTTCTGGGTCCCCAGAAAGAGTTTCATTGTGTTAGAGAAAGAATCCTCACCCCAGCTGATACTTAAGCTAGGATAACAGACACCTTATATACAGGCTGTCCTACAAAGCCCTGGAAAAGAAACAGTCTGTCTGGGGATGAGGAGACAGAATCTCAGAGACAGTAAGTGGTTTTCCCACAGTCGCACAGCTCATAAGGGTCAGAGAAAGGTTTCAAATCCAAACCTCCCGTGCTCTGAGTCCAACACACTAAAAACCTCCCCACCGAGCTACCTCTTGCTGTATGAGCTCAGGTGACACTTGACCTGTCTTAGCCTCATTTTCCTCCTCTGTAAAATGGGAATAATTATATTGGTACCAACTAACTCACTGGTTGAATGTGAGGAAAGAGCTCAGAGAGCCTAAAAAAGCACAGAGGGAATGGGAGCGATGATTAGGAAAACACTGAGCTGAATCTAACCAGATGAAACTTAATAGGGAAAAATAATCATTGCTAACATTTGCAGTAGACTTTTTATTTTGCAAAGCACTTTACATATATGATCTCAATGGATCCTCATAACAACTATTGGTATCCTCATTTTATAGATAAGGAAACTGAGGCATAGAAAAGTTAAGCAACTCCTAAAACAAGGGCTAGTCCCATTTTCTTTGTCTGACTGTACCTGGTATATTGTGTTCATGGAATCATAGGTAAAGAACTAAAAGGGACCTTAGAGGTCATCTAGTTCAACCCTCTCATTTTACAGAGGAGAAAACTGAGGCTGAGAGTGACTAGGTGACTTGCCCAAGGTCACACATAAATGGCATCAGGAAGATTTGAACCCAAGTCTTCTGACTCTTTCTATCACACAGTGGAATAGTCCCAATTCTGTCTGCCCCAGTTGGAGGAGGATATGGACAAATGTGTGTGTATTCAGGGGAAGGTGACCAGTATGGTGAGAAGACAGGAGATTGTGTCAATACAAAGATTCTTTAGAGACCTGAGGGTGTTTTAGCCTCAAAGGGAGGAAACTTAGGGGAACACAACAGTTGTTTGAGTATCTAAAGAGCTTCCCTGCAGAAGAGGGAGGGAGTGGAGGTATTCTGATTGGCCCTAAATGCCAGGACTGGGAGCCTTCGGGGCACATTTCCAGAAGGCAGATCCCAACCAGAGACAGGGAGTCTCACTGTAGGCGCTGTCCAGCAATGGGATGGAGGTGGGGAGCTTCCCCATCAGTTGGTAGGACAGAGCAGGAAGTGGCCTTAAAGCAGAGGCAAGAGGATTATTTGTTTGAGATATGAAGAGAATTCCTGCTTGGTTGCACCTTGGATGGGATGCGTGCCTAGCTCTGAGATTCTGTGATCCCTCAATTCATGGAACGGGGGGGGGGCAGCTAGGTGGCACAGTGGATAGAGCACCGGCCCTGAAGTCAGGAGGACCTGAGTTCAAATCCGGCCTCAGACCAAACACTTGACGCTAGCTGTGTGACCCTGGGCAAGTCATTTAACCCCAATTGTTTGGAAAAAAAAAGAAAGGCAAAAAGGCAGAAGTGTCCTCTGTTCCCTGGACCAATGAACTCATGGGTCTATCCCCTATCACTACAAGAGCATACCACTTGACATCCTTAAGATGGGAAGTGGTGCACTCCTGTGAAAGGAACTCACCTTTATGTGAGGATGCTCATGTATAAGGTATAGACCTCCCAGTGCTGTTGAGCACATGGAATGAAGTGATATTTGTAAAGTACTTTGCAAACGTTGGAGTGTTGTCTAAGTGTCACTGACTTATTATGACACCCAGCCACACTGAATTCCCAAGCCCTCCTGGCCTGGGCCCCTTAAGGCCCAGAAAAGTTTCACTGACCAGCCCTCCTAACCTGCCCCCAACCCTCTTGCCCATCTGGCCCCATCAGGTACTCACAGGAAGTATTAGGAGGGCCAGGCCAAAAAAACAAGATCCTGCCATCTGTGAAAAACAGTGAGTATAACTAGCTGCTGGGTCACACTCCCTGCCCTGTCCCTCCTGCTGATTTCTGTCCTGGCTGCACCCTCTGAGATCTCTCCTTCTCCCCAATCTCTGAATGGAGCTGTCCCCACCGTAGGGCCCCAAGCACTCATCAACATTGCCTTTTCTAGAACTTGCATCTCCCCTCTCCTAAGCCTGGCGGGGGGGGGGGTGTCCCCTCGCTTCCTTTCACAAGACACATCTCTGAAATGTGAACTTTTAGAGACACCAAGAGCATCTTAGATGACGGATCTCCCACCTCCTTCTCTCCCTACTCTGGGTAGTATGGGCCCTGTCTCCAGCCAGGAGACTAAGGCTTGGAGCCCCCATCAGTGTTTCTCACTTCTTCAGGTGATGTTGCCACATATGAAAATGGTCTGCAGCTTCAACACCAACCCTCAAATAGACAAGTAAGACCTTCCCCGGGAAAACCATAAGGGGGGATTTCTATTCTTCTCTACTGTTTCCTCCTCCCCAAGGGGCACACCCTGGCCTCCTCCAAGGGCCCAGAGGGGGAGGAGAAAGAGGCCACCTTCCCCCCAAGACCGAAGGACCAGGAAACCATTCCTCATCAGGGGACAGAGGAGTAGAATTGGTGTAGGTTATACTAACGTCATGTTGGTCTAATGTGGTATGGCCTTGAGTGTGGTCTTTTGACTGAGTCCAAGTTTACAGAACAAATCCTTTTATTAAGGGGATTTGTTCTGGGAAGTTTGGATTCAGTCAAACGGACACACTTGAGGACCTAGAGGGCCACATGTGGCCTTGAGGCCAAAGGTTCCCCATCCCTGGATAACTACGGCTTAGCCATTTACTGCTTATGTTACTCCAGACAGGTCAGTTCACAAGGTTATAAATCTAGAACTGGAAAGGCCCTTAGAAGCCATCTAGTCTTAGGGTCACAGACCCTGAGGGGGGAGGGGCCTTAGGGGTCATCTAGCCCAACCCCTTTACTTTACAGAAGAGGAGACTGAGGGTCGGAGAGAAGAAGTGACTTGCCCAGGATTACCCAGGTTGCAAGTGACTGAGCTAGGATTAGAATTCAGGTCCTATGACTCCAGCATCGATGCCCTTTGCACAGCACCATATTAATTCCCTGGTCTTAAGCTCCCTCATCTATAAGGAAGGGGTAATAATGTTTTTACTACCTCCCTCACAGAGCTAGCATGAAGAAAGGGCTTCGTAAAGCTGGTGTCATGGCAGGGTTGGATAGAGGGAAGAACAAGGAAATGATGGCTCTGAGGCAGTTAGGGTGTGCCACAGAACACAGAGTAGTGGACCTGGAGTCAGGAAGACCTGAGTTCAAATCTAGCTTCAGACGCCAACTATATTGCCTTGGGCAAGTCTCTTACCATCTGTTTGCTTCAGTTTCCTCTTCTGTAAAGTGAAGAGGTTGAACTAGATATCCTCTGAAGCTTCCAATGGATTCAGAATCAGCCCCCACCCTTGGGGGTGAGGGTGGGGGCTGACTGTCCTCCATGCCTACGGGCTTTCCTCAAAACCCTTCTGCAAGGTAGGGGATGTGTGTATTGTAGACACAGGGAGTCTGAGGTGCAAAGCAAGTGAGGGACTTTGTCCAGGGTCCCACAGGGCTTGGGATTCAAGCTCACGCCTGGTGACTCCATCCCCAGTGTGAATACGGCCACCCTGCTGCTCCGTGACAGGAACCAGCTGCCAGCTGGGGCCCTTACTGCCAATGGGCATTAAAGGAAAGCCATATCTGTGACCTGAGCATCCAGTGCCTGGGAGGCCTCAGCTGTTCCTATTTCATCAAAAAGGTGGCTGGGCAGACTTCCAGATATGTGGTTCACCCTGAGGTAAACATCTGGACTGAGGAACTCAGGAGGAATTATGCCAACCCTGACCACAAGAATTCTTGTGAAGCAGGATCCTGACCACCCCCTAGAGGAAGTAGAGGGAAGTCAGAGGGGATGGTCTGTGTTCCGTGTCAACCCCTGGAGGAGCAGAATACTAGATCTGTGTCTCCCTCCCTTAAAGCCAGGGGAAAGATTCCTTTGATAGCTAAAATCAGGTTGGAGAGAGGACACCTGAAAACCTTCATGTCCTGGGATGTTGGAACACCAGGTGTCCATTCTTCCTCATCAGGAGACACCCAGGTCAAAACAAAGGCAGGCAGTTCCCTCCATTAACCTCTCTATGAAACCCTATTGACAGATAGCGGCCCCTACACAGAATGTGGACTCCTACTACATCTCTCCAAAACTGATCGAGAATCCCTACCAGGTCTGCACCATCACTCACTAACTCACTGTCAGGATCACGGAATGTCTGAGCTGAGAAGAACCTTAGAACATAGAACAGGGAATGCCAGAACTTGGTGGGCAGGGGGGCAGGGGAACCATAGAACACAAAATGTCAGAATTGGGAGGGGCCTTAGAAAATATTTAATAAAATTCCTCATTCTACAGATGGGGATACATAAGGATCCTTGTGAGTCACATATTGACCGTTTTTAAATGTGATGTTATCTTTGTCTTATGATATTTTTATTTATTTTGTTTGATATTTTACAATCACATTTAAATCTGGTTCTGGCTTCATTCAAAAGTGCTGTGGACACAGGCACACCTCTGGTGTAGACCACCATGTGGATGGGGTGAGAGGAAGTTGGGAGTGAAGACAAGACAAGGTCTATACAGACTTCTTTGACAGCTGGGGAGGGGGGGTGGCAGAGAAGGACAGTCTGAAAGCCTTCCTATTCTGGGATGCTGGACCACTGGCTGGCCATTCTCTCTCATGAAAGAGGGAGAGGGAGAGGTCACCCAGGCCAAAGGAACCACTAACCTCCCTATGCAACCTCCATTAACAGATGTCGACGCCTCCACAGGACGTGAACCCCTACTCCATCCTCTCTCCAGACTCACTTGAGGACCCATATGAGGTAGTCACCATCACTCACTAACCCTCAGCATCATGGCAGAGCTGGGAGGGCCCTTAGGACACAGACTGTTAAGGCTGGGAGGGCCCTTAGGACACAGACTGTTAAGGCTGGGAGGGCCCTTAGGACACAGACTGTTAGGGCTGGGAGGGCCCTTAGGACACAGAATGTCAGGTCTGGGAGGGCCCTTAGGACACAGAATGTCAGAGCAGAGAAGGATCTTAAAGAATATTTAGTAAAACTCCTCATTCTACAGATAGGGAAATGAAGCCCAGAAGTGGACAGAGACTTGTCTAAGGTCTCACAGGGAGTCAGGAACTGAGCCAGGACTAGAATCCAGGCCTTCTGTCTTTATCTAGGGCTGTTTGTCCTACACCCTTGAACTTGGCTGACCTCAGACCCCTGGGCCCTCCTGCCAGCCTGACCTCTGACTTCCAGAGACCAGCTCTGGCTATCAGGCTGCCCAGATCACCAGCTCTCCCTCCTGCCAAAGGCAAGCCCTGGCCGACAGGAGAGCTCAGGCTAGCCGCCGCTCCCAGCTCTCTGCTGCCATCTGCTGGGCTAGACCATTATGGCTTCCCCAGTTGGTATCCATGGCCCCTGAGAACCTCCAGCCTAGCACAGTGGGAGTAACCTATTCTCATTGATCATTGTTAATATTCATACTTGTCATCATTCTAATTTCTAACCATTCACTTATAGGATGTGGTATAGTGGGTATTCCTCAGGCATATGGATTGACCTAGAGAGCCATTGAGACCCCCTTCCAATTCTGATTCTGAGAACCAGGACAATACTCTCCCAGTGCCCTCCCACTGTCCCACTGATATTTTCTCCAAGAACCATACAAATAGAACAATCTCTCAGCCTCAGAAAGAGGAATGTCAATCCTGCAGTGCATTATGCATAATGGAAAGCCCAAGTCTCTAGTCTTTCAGCACTTAGGATAGTTCCTGACACATAGTAGGTGCTTAATAAAGCACTTTTTATTGTTGACTTCTATTCAAATCAATCAACCGCCAACTTTGGCGCCCCCTATGTGCCAGGCACTGGCAATACAAAGACAAAAGTGAATCTGCCCTTGACCTCCAAGGGCTTACTTGCTGCAGGGGACATAAGATCTATCCATATTGGCAAATACAAATTAGCCAACAGGGAGTATGGAGGGAGTAGGTCTGAGCAACCGGAAAGCTCAGAAGGCTTTCTGGCAGAGGCGATGCTTGAGCTGAGCTTTGGACTCACAAGTAGCACACAGTAAGTACTTAGTAAATGCTCATTTATTTGCCTTGAACTAGTGTGCATGAAGCTCAGGGCTGGGGGAGATGCAGAGTTTAAATAAAACAAAAGCCTCTTCCTTCAGGGAGCCTTCCTTAGTTGGAGAATAAGATTCACTGGGGAAGTTGCAATATACAATACTATGTGACTTCCTTGGAGAAATACAGACAAGGTAATATGTGAGAGCTGAGAGGTAGATCATTGACAATGGGGGAATCAGGGAAGGCTCCCTGGAGGAGATGCCATTGGAGTGAGTCCCTAAAGGATGCTCAGGAATTCAAAGGCAAAGAAGAAAAAGGTGGATACTCCAGACATGAGGACGCACATTCCCTGAGCAAAGGCACAGAAGGGAGAAGGGTGTAGAACATGCTCAGAAGATGACCTAACATTTGGGCTGGAGTGTCAGGGCTCCCTTGGTTTGCCTTTTTTGTATCCCCAAGGGTTAACAGAGTGCCTGCCACACAGTAGGTATATTGCAAGTGCTTATCGATTGACTGACTGGAGAAAAGTAATGAGACAAGACTGGGAAAGCCAGTGGGAGTCAGATTGTAGAGAGCCTTAAACGCCCTCTGCAGGTAAAGGAATTCTCACTCAGCAAGAAACCTGTAGGTATTGAAAATCTTTGAGGAGAGCAGGTCCAAGATCAGATACTCAAGAATGGTGTGGATTGGAGAGGGATGGAAAACCTGCTAGAGACTCTCCCAAGAGCCCAGGCAGGTGCTAATGAGGGCCAGGAAAGCAGCCAGATGTCAGACAGGGCCTGGTAGCTGGCATGGAAAAAGGAGAGGGGAGGGGAAGGGAGAGAAGAATCAGAAACTAAGCTTGTCAGGCTAAGTACTGGACTAAATCTGAAGGATGTGATCCGAAGTATCTGAATCTGAAGGACACACTTAGTAAATGTCTGAATTGAATTGAAGACTATAGAAGTATACAAGAGAAGATGAACAAGGGCTGGGGTGGGTGCTGGAATTAATTGGTTTTGATTAAGGATATTTATTACCAGGGTTTGGTTTTTCCCTCCTAATTGAAGGGAAAAGGTGGGAAGGAAAGAAAATTAATTTTTGCTAAATGAAAAATTTCAATTAAAAAAACAAGTGAATGATGAGAGAGCTGGATAGTTGGCAAACTTAGACTTTAGAAACCGGAGGAGGAAACCCTTTCCTTCCTCTGGGCAGGGAGTTGGAGGATTCCTTTTGTGCCAGGGCTAGACTAGAGAATTTTAGCCTTTCTTGGCCCACAGATGATTTGGGCAGTCAGGCTGGAGAAGCCCATGGACCCCTATTCTGAGTTGTGTTTTTAAATAACTGAAGAAAGTGTTGAATTTCAGTTATGGGTTAGTGAAAACAAAGTTGTCATGTTTTTCCCCATGCAAGTTCATGGATTGCCTGAAATCTATCTCTGGGGGGTTGTGGGCCTCAAGTTAAGACCCTTGGATTAGACGGTCAACAAAGTTCCTTCCACCTTCTCTCTCTCGGGGCTTCAGCGCAGTCTTAATTGTACTTCCTCAAATCCCCCAGAAACTGACCTTTGCATCGATAGACATTTATGAACAGATTGGCCCTAAAGAAGCCCCCCCAAGAGAAGGATGAAGACAACAGAGGCTGAGACACACACCACATTTCCTCCCCTGCTTTTCCCTCCCCCGTTTCCACAGATCCCACAACCCTCCCTGGGGCCAAAGCAGAGAGATGGCCGAACTGCCATGGTGTCCTTGGGGCTCAGCCATGTACATAGCCGGCCCAGGTTGGACCTCCCTAGTTTTGCCAGGAGAAGAACTCACCCACCCACCCATACCCCTTTACCAACTGTGTGCACGTATTAGAGCCACCAAGACAACAAGAAAATATTCATTCACTCAGTCAGACATCAGTGAACTTGATACAAAGATACATTTTTCCCAATTACTTGTTTCCCTTCTCATTTTAGCTGCATTGGTTTTGTCTGTGCAAAAACCCTATTCAATTTTATGTAACCCAAGTTGTCTGTTTGATCTTCTGTGGGTGGCCTCTATCCCTCATTTGATCATGAATTCTTCCCTCTCCATAGATCACACAAGTAATTTCTACCTTGCTCCTCTAACTTGCTTATGACCTTTTATGTCCAAGTCTTGAATCCAGTTGAGCGTATCTTGTTAAATGATGTGAAATATTGCTCCAGGCAGCAAAATAGTACCATGAATAGGAGACTGGACATGAAATCAGGAAGATGCCTTAGGCATTTATGAACTGCATGACCCTGGGCAAGTCATTCATCTCCATCTGCTTCAGTTTCCTCATCTGTAAAGTGGGGATAATAACAATGCCTACCTCCCAAGATAGACTTGAGGACAAAATGTAAAGTGCTTTGCAAACCTTAAAGCACTCCATAAATCCTAGATGTTAATATACAGCAACTATTTTTGCCTGATTTTTCCAGTTTTACCATCAGTTTTTGTCACATGGGCTTACTCCAGCAGCTGGGATCTCTGGATTTATGCAGTGCTAGGCTACTAGATTCCTCTGCATCTGTATGGCTTGTGGTTGGTCTGTTCCACTGATCGACCTCTCTGCTTTTTAGCCAGTGCCAAATTGCTTTGAGAATTACTGCTTTGTAGCATAGTTCGAGATCGGGTGCTGCCACACTCTCTTATATCCCCATTGTTTTTCATTACTTCCTTGAGATTATTGACCTCTTGTTCCTTCAAATGAATGTTGTTTTTTTCTAGCCCTGTAAAATAACCCTTTAGAAGTCTGACTGGTGTAGCATTGAATAAGTAAATTAATCTAGGTCATATTATCATTTTTATTACAGTGACTCAACCTGCCTCCACTGGTCGTCTTGTCAATTCTACTTCCCCAATTTCTGTCCCCTTCTCTATACTTACACCACAGTCTCCCTGGTTTTGGATATTCAGCACCTCTCACTTAGATTATTGTAATAACCTCCTAATTAGTCTCCCTGATCCAGGCTTTCCTCCCTCTAATCCCTCCTCCAGGAAGCTGCCAATCAATATTCCTAAAAGTATGGGGCATGGAAGGAAAAGAGGATTTATTAAGCTCCTATTACAGGCCAAGCACTTTACAAATATCTCATTTGACCTTCATTAACAATCCTGAGAAGTAGGTGCTGTTATGATCCCCCTTTTAGAATTAAGGAAACTGTGGCAAACAAAGGTTAAATGACTTGCCTAGGGTCACACAGCTATTGCATCTGAAGGCTAGATTTGAACTCAGATCTTCCTAACTCCCTAACTTCCTAACTCCAGACAAGCACACCTCCCACTGTGCCACCTAGCTGGGTCTAAAAGGTTCAGTGGCTCCCTCCTACTTCTAGCATGAATTACAGTCTGCTGTATTGGCCATTTAAAAAAGCCCATTATTCCATCTCTAGGCTACCTTTCTCCATCTCCCACCTCCAAGATTTTGCTCAGACAATTCCCCAGAATCATCTCTTTTTACCTTTGTCTCTTGGAATCTCTGACTTCTCTCCAGACTCATTTCAAGTGGCATCTCCTACAAAAGCCCTTCCTCATCGCCCCCATTATTAGCGTCCTCCCAAATAACTTTGTATATATTTTTTGCATTTCCTAATCTGTGTATATGTTGCTTTTCTCAAATAAAATGAAAACTCATTAAGGACCAAGACTTGTTTTGATTTTGTCTTTGTGGCCCAAGCACCCACCTGGCCCTTGGTGAATGCCTAATAAATGCTTGTTGAATGAATGAATGAATGAATGAATGAATGAATGAATGAATGAACCTATGACAGTGGAAATCCAGGAACTCCCTGACCTGCTGGACAGGGACACCTCCACTGGAGCTGGGCATCCATTCACTGACCTAGTAAGTGAGAGGATCATTTGAATCCAGACCATCTGTCTCCAATTCCAGTGTCCTTTCAAAGATCATTCAAGCTGGGTGGGGCCCTTAAAGCCCCTCTATAATGTAATCCCCCACAAGAATCTGAGACCGAGAGGAAAGAAAGGCCACCCAGAAACAGCATCTGTTTGTGAGGAGACAAGAGAACAGAAGAGAGAGAGAGAGAGAGACCAAGGGATCCCAGGTCCAAAGCTGGAAGGAACCTAAGAGGCTGACTAGTCTAGCTTCCTTATTTTACAGATGGGGAAACTGAGGCCCATGGAAGGCCATCAGAATTCTAGAATTAGAGCTGGGAGGAACCTCAGAAGCCATCTGCCTCATTTTAAACATGGGGAAACTGAGGCCCAGGGTGAGGAAGAGTCTTACTCAATGTCACACAGAAAGCAAGTTTGAGTGCCAGCTTTTGACCTTATATTCTCTGATACCAAATCTAACTTCCTTTCCACAGGAACGCCCTGCCTCCCAGGACTCTAGATCCAGCCCAGTCTCTGTCCTGAGCTCCAGCCACTCATTACCCGAGGCACGTGGGACATTTTTCACCCAGATATACCTTAGGCATCTCAATCTCAATGTGTCTAAAACAGAATTCAACCATCAAGCAATAAGCATTTATTGAGCACCTACTGTGTCCTGGCTCTATCCTAGGTCCTGTTAACAGCAAAAGAGAAACAGTCCTTGTTCTGAAGGAGCTGCCATTTCATAGATGAAGACAACATGTGTGCTTTATATATGCTTTATATACATATATGTGTACATGTATAATATACATGTGTTTATATGCATATGGCAATATACTGTGTGTGCATATGCATGTACACGATGAGGCTCAGGGTTCAATTAATCAGCAAGCTTATAAGGGTCAGGCTATGTTAGGTGACATGCCCAGGGTCACCAGGATTCAAAATTATCACCTACCTTCAAATCCCACACCACAATAATGATAACATAGCCTTGAAGGTACCCCCACTCATACATCAGCCCTCCTTAGGCATAGTGGATAAAGCAGTAGGCTTGGAATCAGGAAAACCTAAGTTCGAATCCTGCCTCAGACACTTACTAACTGTGTGACCCTGGACAAGTCACTTAACCTCTGCTTGCCTCAGTTTCCTGAACTATAAAATGTGAAAGAAAGAGAGAGAGAGAGAGAGAGAGAGAGAGAGAGAGAGAGAGAGAGAGAGAGAGAGGGAGAGAGAGAGAGAGAGAAGGAAGGAAGGAAGGAAGGAAGGAAGGAAGGAAGGAAGGAAGGAAGGAAGGAAGGAAGGAAGGAAGGAAGGAAGGAAGGAAGGAAGAAGAAAGAAAGATAAAAATTGCACAGTACCTGGCACATAGTGGTGCTTAATAAATGTTAGCTGATCTTTTTGTGGTGGCAAAGAATTGGAAATTGAGAGGATACCTGTCAATTAGGAAATGGCTGAACAAGTTGTGGCATATGAATGTAATGGAATACTATTGTGCTATAAGAAACGATGAACAGGCTGACTTCAGAAAAACCCGGAAAGACCTATATGGTCTGATGCTGAGTGAAGTGAGCAGAACCAGGAGAACATTGTACACAGTAACAGCCATGTTGTGCGATGACTAACTTTGATAGACTCAGCTCTTTTCAGCAATGCAAGGATCTAAAACATTTCCAAAGGCCTCATGAGGGAAAATGCTATCCACATCCAAAGAAAGAACTATAGAGTTTGAATGCACATCGAAGCATATTATTTGCTATTTTTTTTTCTTCTGTTGAGTTTTGTTTCCTCTTTCTGGTGGTTCCTCCTATTGGTTCTAATTCTTACTTACAACATCACTAATGTGAAAACATACTTAATAGGAATGTAAATGCACAGCCTATATCAGATTGTGTGCTGTCTTGGGGAGGGTGGTGGGGAGGGAGTGGGAGAGGGAGAAAAATTTTAAACTCAAAACCATATGGAAGTGATTGTTGATAAATCAAAATAAATTAATTTTTTAAAAAGAAATGTTAGCTGACTTATTGATGGGCGTGTCTTCTAGATCTAGTACCTGGTCAAATGTGTTCTTGCCCACATTTCTCCATGCTTTCCACAAGAAAAGTGAAAGAGATTTTATCTAATTCTTTGCTAAAAGCTAAATGAACTCTATCTGCAACATTCCCCTGATACACCACTTAAGTATGAGAAAACAAAATGAAGTCAGTCTGCCATAACCTGTTTGTGGTAAGGCCATATTGGCTCTTGGTGCTCACTGTTTCCCTTTCTAAATGTTCAATGACCATCCCTTTAGTAAGATGTTCCAAAGTTTTGCAAGGAGCTACAGTCCAGCTTACTGGCCTATTGTTTGTACACTCTGTTTCTCTTAATTCTTTGTCACTGTTCTCCAATTCTACGGTTGCTCTCTCTTCCTCCATAATCACAGAATCAGAGGATTTGGAAATTACTTCAAGAGCCCTCTAGTGTAAGCCTTTCTTTGTCTTGTGGCTTAACACAGAACCTGGCACAGAGTAAGGGCTTAATAAATGTTTGTTCACTGACTGACCATACATGAAAGAATCCCCACTCTCCTGTGCCCGACCAACAGTTGTCTAGCCTCAGCTAGCAGAGCTCCTGGGAGGCAGACCCCACCACATGGACAGGCAGCCTGTGCCACTTGGGGATAGCTCAAGCTTTTCCTGACTTCAAGCCTAAATCAGCCTGCTTGTAACTTCGACCCTTTGCTCCTGGTTCAGCTCTTGAGATAAATAAATGAATGAATGAATGAATGAATGAATGAATGAATGAATGATTAAGTGAATGAATAATAAATAAGTAAATGAATGGATGGATGGATGAATGAATAAGTAAATGAATAAATAAATGAATGAATGGATAGATGGATGGATGAATAAGTGAATAAGTAAATGAATGAATGAATGAATGAATGGATAGATGGATAGATAGATAAATGAATGAATGAATAATTTTTTAAAATAGCTAAGATTTATATAATGCTTATCATGCTCTAGAAACTGTGCTAAGCACTTTACAATTATTAACGTATTTGATCCTCACAACAACCCTGGGAGGTCAAGGTTGTTATTATCCCCATTTTATGAGGGATGAGGAAACTGAGGCAGGCAGAGGTTAAGTGACTTGCTCAGGGTCACACAACTATCAGAACTTTGTCACTCCAGGTCCGGTATTCTATCCACTGAGCCACCCAGCTGCAATAACAAATCTAATTTCTTCTACATAACCCTTCAAATACTTGAAGGCAATGATCATGCCTCTCCATCTGGAGTCTTTTCCTCTCGAGGCTAAATCTGCCCAATCCCTTCACCGAGCCTCTTCATCTCCCTTCTCTGGAGTCTTTCCAGCTTATCCGTCTCCGTCTTAAACTGTGGCGTCCAGAACTGAGCACAGTACTCCAGAGGAGGTCTGATGAAGGCAGCGTACAGTAGGACTACACCTTCCTATTCCTAGAAGCTAGGAGCCTCCCAATGCAGTCCATTAGCAATTCAAGCAGCCAGCATCTCCCTGCTGTCTCACAGCAGGTTTGCAGCCCACTTAAAAAAATAAAAAGAATCAATCCACATCTTTCTTAGACAAACTGCTGTCTAACCATAACTCCCTCTCGTTGTCTTTTTGAAGTTAATTTTTTAACCCAAGAACAAGTGAGCCTCAGTTTCCTCATCTATGAAATGGGGATAATAATATTTGCACTATGTTCTTCCCAAGGGTGTTCTGGGGTAAGTGCTTTGGCAATGCTAATGCGCTAAAGAAATGGGTGCTCTCGCTGTCATTAGGAGAACGTGTCCCCATTGAACCAGGGCTCCAGCTCTCCCTGCCCGGGCCAAAGTCCCCTTCTGCTCACGTGATCTGGAAGACCAAAAAGCATTCGGGGTGGGGAGAGAATTCAGTGTCTTGGAAGTGGGGGGAGGGGCGGGGGGAACAGATAGAGAAAAACAAGCAAAGAGACATAGGTAGACAGACATGCACACAGAGACGGATCCAGAGAAAGAACGAAAAGCAGAAAGAGAGAGAGGCGGAGGGAGATAGGAAGAGACACGCGGGGAGGGAGGCAGAGCCAGGAGGCGGACGAGGTTGGGTGAGGACAGGGCAAGCTAAGACCCAGCTTTGTGAGGCTGAGTCAGGAGCAAGGGCAGTCTGGCTGCATCTTCTCAGGAGAGGGACGATAGCCCTCGGCCCAGGAGCGTCCGTACATGGCGCTTCCCTCAGAAACTCTACTCGGGGCGGACAGCCAGTGCAAGAGGCTCCTGCTCCCAGGTGAGAGGATTGGACCGAGTCGGGGACCGGAGGAATAGGTGAAAGTATTCGTGTTCACACTGGGGGTCCCGGGCTTGGGCAAGATGAGCCCATAACTTAGAGACGTCCTAAGTGCGCTGCGCTGGCCCTGCATGCCCCCCGGGACATTCATTTTCTTGGTCTCAACCCTGTGAATTCACTGGGGTTGGCTACTCCCAGGGAGGAAACTGTCCCTTCTGTCTGAGGCTCACCAAGTTTCCCAGGACACTAAAATGTTGAAGTGACCAGTCCAGGGTCACCCACCAGGAGGTGTGTCAGAGGAGACACAAGAAACCCGGGTTTCCTCCCTCTAGACTGGCTCTTTATCCACTTCCCCACGCTGTGGCTTGGACCCACACGTAAACAGAAAAAAAAAATTTTAACGTTCATAAAGAGAAATACAGAGCTTGAAGTAATCTTAGAAGACAGAAATAGAACTGGAAGGAATCTTGGAACATAGAATGTCAAAGCTGGAAGGGCCCTTAGAACATGAGCCATTTAACATAAAACATGTCAGAGACGGAAAGGAACATGGCTGACATCTATCTGGTCCTACTTCTTGGTTTGTCAGATGGGGAAACTGAGGTCAGGAGAAGATGTGAAGGGCCCAAGGTCACACGACAAGGTAACACCAGGTTCAAGTTCTTTCCGTTGGCTGTCCCAGGGCGGCACACGTTTCTAAGCATACAGTGCTATGCTGCTCCACGGACTCTCTCAGCCACAGGGCTGGAAGTTACTGACTACTGTCTCTCTTTCTTTCTGTCTTAGCTGTCCTGCTTGCCTCCATGGCAGCTGCTGAACTGTTGCTCTTCCCTGAAGACCTGAACAGGCTACCTGGAAGTTCAATTAGATGGCGGATTTCCGGAGGCCCCTCTGGTTATGTCAACTATACATGGTACCGGGCAAACGCATCCATTGAAGCAAATATGCTTGTTTCATACATCTCCTCCCCTCCTAGCTGGATTCCTGGCCCTGCAAATGCTGGCTGGGAGAATGTGACTCAAAAAGGCTACCTGACCATCACAGAATTAGAGTTTGGTGATGCTGGGAACTACTCGATAGTGGTGACTGGCATTGAGGGATCCCAGGAGGACACTGGACAGATCCAGGTCTGGGGTAAGCCAGATTCCTACTCTGTCTCCCCTGCAAGGGACAACCATGGCATCCAAGAGGTAGGGGCTATCTCGTGCCTCTGAGATCCCATGCCTGAAAGGGGGTATACAGCCTCTACTTGGATGCCTCCAGGAATGGGGAGCTCACCACCTCTCTAAGAAGTTCACCTTACTGTTAGATAGTTAGGAAGTTGCTTGGAGGCTCTAGCCCTGAGCCTGTCTCACAAACTTTTGTGGGCCTCACTCCAAGAATACAGTTGAGTGGGACAAGACAGTGGGTTTGGGTAGCCAGGTTTCCTGCGGACAAATGATCTCTGGCATCAGTGGGAGCCAAACAGGAAGAGTCACTTCCCCTTCCCACCTCCCAAAGATTTCTATAAGAGAGGAAGCAAAGAAGAAGGGTAGAGAGGCCTGTGAGACCAGGCCATCCTGAGTGAGGAGAAGCTGAAGACCTGGAGTTGTACATGGTGGAGACAGATGAGGAGCTATCCCATGGAAGAGGGAGAAGCCCCCTTGGGCTGAGCCAGGAATAGTGGGGGAACCTTCCCTGACCCCCTGGTTGGTGCCTTCACCTTTCCTAAATTATCTTAGGTTTTCTCAGCGGTTTGAATGTTAGATTCCCTAGAAGAACATAAGCTGCTTGAGGGCCGGGAGCCTGGGGGTTTTTTGTCATTCATGTGGTCTGGCTTTGCCTTCCTGAGATCTGGGAAAGGGGGGCTGGCATTTGGCCTGGATCTGGAGAGGGCTGGCCCCCATCTCTTCATCCCCCTCTGCCCTGTTCCCCCAGAGGAGCTGTTCCAACCCAACACCACAGTAAGCAAGACTGGTGTAGTAGAGTATGTGGACACTGTGAACTTCACACGCCTTCCCAACACCAGTGACTTCCAGATTTGGTGGTACTTCAGCTATGTCCCAGTGTCTGAGGGCTATCAGTGGGCTGTGTCCTCAGACAAAAGGATCCTCAGTGGCTGGGTCACTCACTACCAGAAAGGGCCTTACTACTGCGAAGTATCAAACCCAGCCACCTCACAGAGCAGTGCCTTTCAGAATCTGCAAATATACTGTGAGCAACTCAGGGCACCCATCCTCTCCAGACTTCCAACTCCTCAGCAATGAGGGAGGTGTAAGACACAGGCTGGGCCGTTGAGAGAGTTACCAGATGGATCCAGGTCACAAATTCAGACTGTCAAAGCTGGGAGGGGCCTTAGAAGAGGGAATGACAGGGCTGGGAGGGCCTTAGAACAGGGGATGACAGGGCTAGGAGAGCCTTAGAACAGGGGATGACAGGGCTGGGAGGGCCTTAGAACAGGGGATGACAGGGCTGGGAGGGCCTTAGAACAGGGGATGACAGGGCTGGGAGGGCCTTAGAACAGGGGATGACAGGGCTGGGAGGGCCTTAGAACAGGGGATGACAGGGCTGGGAGGGCCTTAGAACAGGGGATGTCAGGGCTGGGAGGGCCTTAGAACAGGGGATGTCAGGGCTGGGAGAGCCTTAGAACAGGGAATGTCAGGGCTGGGAGGGCCTTAGAACAGGGGATGACAGAGCTGGGAAGGGATATAGAATAGCAATCAATCAACAAGCACTTAGTAAGTGCCTACTGTATACCAGGCACTGTGTCACATGCTAGGGTTACAAATACAAGAGTGAGACGTCCCTCGCCTACATTCTGCCACATGGAATCCCACTCCTTGGGTGGAATGTCAGAGTTTGAGAGCTCAGAACGTAGAAGGTCACAGCTAAGGAAGAACGTCCAGAGTGAGCTGATCCAGACTCTAGTCCTGGCTTGTTAATTAACTGTGTGACCTTGGGCAGGTACCTTCACTTTCTGAGCCTCAGTTTCCTCGTCTGCACAATTTGGGCTTTGTACTAAACTATCTCTAAAGTCCTCTACAAGTCTGACGTGATTCTGGCCAAGAAACTCCAAAGAAACCCTGGGAGGTAAGGGCTATTATCATTCCCATTTTACAGCTGAGGAAACTGAGGCAGACAGAGGTCAAGTGACTTGTCCAGGGTCACCCCACAAGAAAGTATCTGAGGCTGGATTTGACCTGGGGCCTTCCTGACTCTAAGGCCAGAGCTCTATCTACCGCACCCTATCAGTAACCCACATAAACAGAAATATTTTGGGGGCAGACCCCAATAATTTTTAAGAGTGAAAAGTAACCCTGAGACCAAAAAGCTTGAGAACCACTGCCTAGAGATTTGCCCAGAGCCCTGAGGGTTCCAAGGTCCCAGGTCCCCCAGCCAGGAGGTCAGGGGGCCAACACTTGAACGGAGGTCTTCCTGACTCCCTGGCCGGCCCCTCCCAGGGACAATCTACTACCAAGCCTTGTCCACCCTCCCCTTCTCTGTGCATGACTACCGCCACAGCTCACGCCCTCACAACTTCTCACGTGAACCGCTTTTAAGGGTCTCTTAATTGTACAGCTACCAGATTGAGGTTCTTAAAAGTACAGTCAGTCACTAAACATTAATTAAGAACCTGCTGTGTGCCAGGCTCTGTGCTAAGTGTCAAGCACAGATCTTACCCTGTCACTGCCTTGCTCAAGATGTTTCAGTGGCTTCCTATTTCTTCTCTTTGGTCTTTTGAACCCATCATGTTCTAGCTCCAGGCCTCCTTTCCAGACTCACCTCATGCCAATTGTATACCCTTCTTCCCCACCAGAAATGCACAACTTTCTACTTGCTACCTCTATACCTTACACAAGTTGTCTGTCCTTGGTGCCCCAACGCACTCCCTCCACACCTCCACCTCTGGGAGTCTGAAGGCCCAGCTCAAGGTCCACTTCCTGCAAAAGTCCTTAGCTGGGCCCCTCCCCCCACAAGAAACGACTTTGTATCAGCTTTTATATTACGTGTATTTTGCATATTTTACATTTTCTAGGTAGCCTGGTTCAGGAAATAGAGAATCAGTCTTGGAGTCACAAAGAACTGAGTAGAAGGCCTGTCCCTAACCCTCCCTGCAGTGGGCCCCAGGCAGGTCCTCAGCTTCCCAATGTTTTAGGGCAATGCTCTAAAACTCTGAAGTTGCAGAGTAGGTGGTGACCTTCATTGGTGGAAGGAATTTTCTCACTGGAAGTTCCCTATGCCAAGGAAATGACAGATCCAAGCCAAAACCACACACACACACACACACACACACACACACACACACACACACACACACACACACACACACTGGCTGGGAGACCCTCTACAAGCCACTTAACCTTTCCATGTTCTAAACAACTCTCTAGAATTATAAGAGAAGATGCCAACCTGCACTGGTAGAAGGAGTTTCCTCCCCTGGGAGTTCCCTATGGCTTTGAAATCACTGATCCAGTCTCTATCCAAGGGGCTGTCAGAACCAAGGCTAGAATTCAGTTCAGGACTTTTTCCATTACATCATGTTGTCCTGAAAACAAAGGTGGAGGGGAGAGAGCAGAAAGACGGCTAAGGAAGAAGGAATCACCTATCTCTATCTGATCCCATAACTCAGCGACTAACACAATGAACATATTTAGCCTATTAATTTTAGACCAATAAAAGAAACAAATCATGGCCTTATCATTCCTGGACTATATATGGTAAGTTGGGAACCTTTGCCCAGGAGGGTTGCGGAAGAGTTTGGCACAGATAATTTTACAGGGACATGAGAGAAGGAGGAAAAGAAAAGTCCACAGAGCTGTGAGAGGAAGGAATAGGAATGTCTGCCCCTTTAAACCAAGGCCATGGTACTTAGCAGAGGACCCAGCAAGGGCATCACTGCCCATCATTATTCAGCTCCCATCCTAGTGTGGGACAGAGACCCCATCCACCCCATTCATCTCTAGTCCCAATCCCACGGGGCCTAGAGTCTACACTGAGCTTGGGCAGGGGTAGGGAGATAAACTGTGGCCCCTCTTCTCTTCTTTCCCAGGAGATGAGGCAGCAGAGAACTTAGGCTTTTCAAAGGAGAAATTGAAAGAGTGAAGACCTCAAAGACAAATGACCCAAGAAAGAATCTTACCTAAGACACTTACTGTGTGGCCAGCCATAGGGTTATTATGAGCTTAAAGAACTTTGTAAATGTAACTGGTTATTATATTATTCTACCCCAAAGCCACACACACGGAGGGGTTCTCTCATAGATAGAGAGGTGGGTTGGAATGTGGAGAGAGCTAATGGGTCCCTGGAGCACTCTGGAGGGTGGTTGGCAGGACGGGTTTAAGTATGGGAGGGGCTCACCGGGGGAAGCAGGAGAATGCGGGTACCACTCAGGAAGGAGTGGGTCAAGGGCAAAGTCCCTGCCACACAGACAGACCACATGATCCTGGGCATGGCAAGCCAAGTCACCGAGAGCAAAGCCAGTGATAGGGCCAGGCTTGTCCTGGGGCCAGGATTGGGCAAAAGCAACATCTGCCTCTGGTTGAGAAAACAAACAATCCGGCTCAGGAAGAGGAGGTGAGAATTGGTGAACAAGGTGGAAGTCCCCTGAAGGGGCAGAGTCATGGAGCTGTCCAGAGCCTCTCCGCATGGCTGGGGCAGCCCCTGGAAGAGGTTCCTGCTCACAGGTAAGGGGAGAACCATTCGCACCCCCACCACTGAGGTTTAGGGAGATCAATAAAGGAGGAACCCAATCCCAAGCTCAAAACAACCCAAGCCTAGACCTTGACATAATGGGATACCTGCCTGCTCTGGGCAGGACACCAAAACTCATATATGGATCCTTGGACATGCATATGCATACATGTAGGATGAATGCCAGAATGTCCAAACTGGGAGAGTTAGCAGAACTTAGAATGTGAAGATTAGAGAGTCCACTAGAACATACAATGTGGAAGGTCAGAGCTGGAAAGGGCCTTAGAATGCAGAATGTTAGAGCCAGAAGGACCTTAACGCAGAACATCCAAGACCTTAGAGGGGAGGATGTCAGAGTCCATAGAACACAGAGCGTTGAATTTCAGAGTCATAAAGAAGTATTTTAAAAATTATCCAGCACAGCCCTTTCCTTTTACATGTGGATAAACTTCCCTATAAGGGGAAACTCAGTTACCCCACGTTTCCAGGTCATTTTGTTGCAATGTGAGGAACAGAACCCAGCGTCTCCAATGCTCTTTCCTACAGCACACTATCCTTAGCTACAAAGTCACAGGTTCCCAGAATTCCCAGGTCGGAAGAGACCTCAGAGGCCATGGGAACAGCCTGGAGGAGAGACCAAGCAGTTGCCTTCCAAGGCAGCCCATTGGTGACATCTCCCATTGTTAGGAAATCTGTTCTTAGACTGAGACCAAAGAAGTCTCTTTTTAGCTCGCCCCCTTTGCCCCCTTACTTTGTCCTCATAAGCTGAGCAGACCAAGTCTAACCCTCTTCTGTGTAACAGCACTTCAGCTACCTGGAGATAGCTGCCTCCTCCCCCAAATCTCATTTTCTCCAGGCTGACCATCCCCATCGATCCTTGGATATGGCATCATTTCCAAACCCCTCACCATTCTGACCGCCTTCCACCAGAGACCTTCTAACCAATCACTGACCTATCTAAACCATGGTTTCCCAGAACTGAACCCAATGCTCCAGGTTTGATCTGAGCAGGAAAGAGTACGGAGTCACCATCACTTCTTTACTCCTTCCATAATGCAGCCAAGTATGATCTTCATTTTCATGGCTGCCATCTTGCCCTGTAAACACTTTGAGTAGCTTGCAGTCTACTCAAGCTTTTAGATCTTTTTCAGGTGATTGGCTATTTATCTTAGCTTCTCCCATCTTGTACTCGAGAAGTTGATTTCTTAAATCCAAATGGAGGACTCCACATTTATCCTTGGTCAATTTCATCTTATTAGAATTTCCCCTATAATCTAGCCTGTCACCGTCTTTTGGAAACCTGGGTGTCATTCATTGTCACTCATCTTCTCGAGTCTATGCTGAGCTTGGGCAAGGGGAGGGAGATAAACCTGGCTGTGGCCCCTCTTCTCTTCTTTCCCTAGGGATGGCATTCTTCCAAGCTTGGTGTCACATTTCAGTTTGATGAGCATGACATCTATCTATGCCTTGAGCAAGGCTTTTATAAAAATATCTGAGACAGCCCCTCAGGGGACATCACTAAAGATCTCCCTCCAAGTTGACACAGACCTATTCATGGCTGACTACTCTTTGGATCCACCATTCATCTAGTTCTGGATCTCTCCAAAGTGCTATTGCTTCAGCCACATCTCTCTATCTTGTTCACAAAGAAAGCATGAAATACTCTGTCAGACACATGAGACCCTCACACAAACATTGCTCCTCTCTCGGTACTGTAACAAAGGTGGTATAGCCAATGATTCGCCCCAGGGTGATGAACTAAAGGGCAGTGACCTCACCAAGCACCTACGTAGCAAGAATAACTAATTAAAATGGCAAGCTAGAGTGAGCACTAACCTTGTTCTACACCAGAGGTGGGGAACCTATGGCCTCTAGGTCCTCTGGTGCAGTCTTTTGACTGAGTCCAAGTTTTACAGAACAAATCCTCTTATTAAGGGCATTTATCCTGTGAAGTTTGGATTCAAAGGGCTGCACTTGAGGACCTAGAGAGCCACATGTGGCCTCAAAGCCACAGGGTCCCCCACCCTTGTTTTACACTGTTCCCCCAAATTCAGCATTGCACTGGTGTCCCAAGGTCTCTATCTCCCCTTTCAGCAAATGGATTATATCTTACAACACCATCCCCGGAATAATAGAGGGTATGCTTCTATCCCTTAACATGTGTGTGTAAAAATTACAGCCCAGCTCTCACCCACTAGGCAAGGAAGGAACACCAGTCATGTCTGAGAAGGGAACACCACCCTGCCCCTAATGCGGCACTTTGCTCTTCCCACCTACCCCACCCCCACCCCCACTTCTGGTCCTTCTCCAAGGTATCCTGCTCAGCTTCTGGGGGCCACCCAGAATCTGCTCAGATCTTCACCGCCACTGTCCCAAACCGCCCCATGGAAGGAGATGACGTGATTCTGACCGCCCCGAACGCCCCAGACAGGATCCTCAATGCCAGCTGGCACTCAGGGTTCCAGCCCTCGGATCCTGACACGATCACCAGCTGCATCCCCACTGCCCAGGCAGGCCCCTGCACCCAGCGCCTAGGTCCTGCCCACACCAGGAGGGAGGCTCTGACAAGCTGGAACACATTGGGAATCAGAAACCTCACTCCCTCCGACACTGGCTTTTACTCCCTGGTGCTGAACACTGACTCAGGCCTGGAGAAGGCATCCCCCTACATCCATGTCTGGCGCCCACGGGGTAAGTAGAGTCTGCAGTGGCCATGGGCTGGTAGCATCTACCCACAGTCCCTGAAGGAGGGAGCTCCCTGGAGCCTCTGTTACCTTCATAGAATGGAAGATGCTTGAAGACAAGGACCTTTTCACTTTTTTTTCCCCAATGCCTAACACAAAGCCTGGCACATAGTAGGGCTTCATGAATTCTTGCTGAATCTGGCTCAGAAGAACCATGGTTCTAATCCTGTGTCTGATGCTCACAGCCCAGTGACATTAGGTGAGTGCCTTCCTTTCCTGGGCCTCAGTTTCCCCCTATGTAAAATGGGGAGAACCCAACGATATCTAAAGCCCCCTTATATCTCCAATCTCACATAATCCCTCCTCCTCACCCCAGGAGACAAGGGTGAAAGTGGGAGGAAGGACAACCCCTCTGGAATGGGTTGCTTTGAGGGGGGAGGGGTCTGGGCACAGCCCCACTTCTCAGGGAGAAGGGAAATATACCCAGAAAGATGGAAGACACGAGAGAATTGTGCACGGGTAACGTGAAGTGTGATGAGGGCTCAAAGGAAGAAGAGGAGAGGCTGGAGATGAGGCATTCATGAGGGCATCCTGGAGCACACCTAAACTGAGGCCATCTTTTCTAACCCCTTTATTTTACAGAAGGGGATACTGAGGCCAGAGAAGTGAAGTGACTAACCCAAGGTCATATGTAGGATCATGGAGCTAGGGGCCACCTAGCCCAACCCCCACCCTCATTCTGTAGAGGCCCCAAGTGACTTTCCCAAAGTCACACAGGCAGTGAATGAGATGAGATTTGAACCTGGGGCCCATGACTTCCACCCAATGCTTCTATTCCATATCTCACTCCTCCACCGCTTCTCCCCCTAGAGTTTCTTCTAATACCAGACATCTCGGCCAACATGAATGTTGCTGTGGAGAACGTGGACTGAGTGGTCTTCACCTGTCACACCAATGAAGCCAACATCAGGGTCCTCTGGTATAATGGCGGCTGGCTGCTGCAGGGGGGAGGGCGACTGCAGCTGTCCAACGGCAACAGGACCCTGGCCATCCGGCCAGTGACCCGAGGCGACCAGGGGTTATACTTCTGTAGAGTGTAGAATGAGTCTGACTACCGGACAAGTGAGACCATCCAGCTGACTGTGTTCTGTGAGTAACTAATGCCTCTTTCTGCTGCCTGTCCCAGACTCTACCACCCTCCCACCCCTGCTTCAGGTAGGTAAAGAGACTGAGGTCAGCAAGCTAGGGGCAGAAGAAAAGTCTAGGGGCAGCTAGGTGGTGCAGTGGATAGAGCACTGGCCCTGGAGTCAGGAGGACCTGAGTTCAAATCCGGCCTCAGACACATAACACTCACTAGCTGTGCGACACTGGGCAAGTCACTTAATCCTATTGTCTAGCCAAAAAAAAGTCTAATCCAACCTGTCGCCCAGGGCAGAAATCCTCTGCCAGGGACACATCCAACCTCTAGGAACAGAGGGTTTTAGGCTTGGGGCTAGGAAGGACCACAGAAGTCAGTTGAGACAACACCCCTCCCATTTTACTGATGGGGAAACTGAGGCCAGACAAGTGAAGTGACTTGCCCAAGGTTTCTCAGTAAGTGGCAGAAAGAAAATTCAAACCTAAGTCCTCTGACTGAATCTTGCGCTGATTTCTCTAGACTGCTCTGCCTTTGGGGGTTCCCCTAGCTCAACTACCTCATTTTGCAAATGATGTATCTGAATCTCTGAGACCCAGGGATGGGGCACCCAGTGGGGTAGAGCACATACCAGCACTGGGTCCGTAGTCAGGAAGAACTGGGTTCAAATCCAGCCATGGCCACTGACTCGGTCACTGTGTGACCTGGGCAAGTCACTGAACCTCTGTTCACCTCAGTTTCCTCCTCTGTAACATAAGGATGATGTTGTCTGCCTCCCAGAGGGGTTGTGAGGCTCAAATAAGATGATAATTGTAACATGCTTTGTGAGCTTTAAAGTGCCATATAAATGCTGGCAATTCTGATTTCTAATAACGAACTGAAATCTGCCTTCCTATGACATTCAGCCTTGGGTCTAGGGTGGCCAGTTATCTGAAGAAGAAAGAAGCAGGGCACTTTGGTAGAAAGAACTCTGGACATAGAATCCAAAGACCTGGGATAGAATCTCGGCCTTACTCTTGACTTACTGGGTTTCCATGAGCGAGAGCTCCTTCTCTCTCTGGACTTCAGTTCCTCCATCTCTAAGAGGAAGGAACTACTTTAGATGGTCCTTCAGGGCCCTCCCAGCTCTGACATACCCTGTTCTAAGGCACCTCCTAGTTCTGGTATTTCCTGTCCTAAGGGCCCTCCCAGCTCTGACATTCCCTGTTCTAAGGGCCCTTCCATCCCTGACATCCCCTGTTCTAAGGCCCCTCCCAGCCCTGATATCCCCTGTTCTAAGGCACTTCCCAGTTCTGGTATTCCCTGTTCTAAGGCATCTCCTAGTTCTGATATTTCCTGTCTTAAGGCCCTCCCAGCTCTCACATCCTGCCCTTCTAATACTCCACATTTGTTCTGTCTCCACTTGCAGGGAATCACTGGGCCTCTTCCCTCTCTGTAACCCTCTCTCTCCCAGGATGCCACCCCTAGTCCTTCTCACTATGACACCCTCTACCCCCCTACAGGTGGGCCTGGATCATTGGTAATGTCGTCATATCCAAAACCATACGAGGGCACCGTTGTGAGTGACCTCAACTACTCGGTGGTCCTGCAGTGTTTGGCTATGGCAAACCCCAGTCCCCTGTTCACCTGGTCCCTTAACACAACGTGTGTGGGACCCAAGGGGATTACATTATCCGGAGATTGGCCAAGAAGAACCTAGGCAGTTTAACTACATGTGCACGGCTCCGAACGCGTGGGCCTGAGGACCTCCAATCCCATCCATATGTGGCTGCCCGGTGAGCTCATCATTGATGGTCCCACCCCCACCCAGCCCCAAATCAACTAGCAAGCATTTCATAAGTCCCTTTTGTGTGCAAGACACCCACACTAGCTCCTATGGGAGGGGGAAAGCAGCAGGACACGTGGTCGTGAAAAATATGCTAGGCTTGGCCTCAGAAGACTAGGGTTGCAATCTTGCCTCTGTCAATTTTGGGCTCAGTGACTGTGGACAAGTCAATCAACTTCTCCATGCCTCAGTTTCCTCATCTGTAAGATGAAAGGGTTAGAGTCTTCAAGGCCCCTTCCCACCCTAGAAACGTGGTTCTGTGACACGTACGTGAGGGATGCAAAGCTGAAACAGGGCAGAAGAGGGGAGTGGAGGCGACGGAGACCTGTACATGAATGACTCTCATCCCAGTTACAACGGGGCAGAGAGGGATGAGAGTTCAGGGACAAGGACATCACTTCCAGGAGACAGGCCCAGGGAAGGCCTCTTGGAGGAGGCAGCCCCTGAGCTGAGGGGCCAGAAGATTTCAGAGGCAGAGATGGTGAGGGGTTACATCCTAGAGATGAAGGCAGGGCGGTGTCAGGGAAGCCTGGCTGAATGCCTAAAAGTGGGAGAGGGTGAGAGGAGCCAAGCGTAGCATGATTTGGCCAACTGGGCCAAAATTTAAAATGCAGGAAGGTGTGGGGGAATGTTGGAAATAGAACATGAAGCCAGAGGGTGGAGAGCTTTGAATGCCAGGATAAGAATCTTAGTGTTGGAAAAGACCTCAGAAACTGTTCACATCAGAAACAGCTCACAACTAAACAAAGATCCCTTCTGCAATGCCCTCGGTAAGGAACCATCTACCCTCTCCCTAAAAACCTTCATTAAGGAAGACATCATTGTCATGATCGATGGCCGCTGGGACCCAGCCGGCTCCGGAGGACAGAGTGAGGCTGGTTACCTTGCATGGCCCTCCCTCATTTAAGTGCAATTCACCTGCACGTCATGGTATCACCTCAATGATGCCTTGGTCCTCTTCCCGAAGGAAGGATGAAGCAGAACATCTCCCACCACCATTCCTTTGCGTGAGCTGTTCCCCATAACTGTACGCTGTACTTCCTCACTTCCTCCTGCTCCTTTTGAGGATCCATTCTGGGACCACCTCCCCCAGCAGGCCCTTCTGGGTCCTTTCAGTTGCTAGCATTCTCCACCCTGCTCCCAAATCGTTTTAGGCCGACTTTATTTCCACAAGGCAGCATGCAACAGCCGATAGAGAGCTGGCCTTGCAAACAGAAAGATCTGGGTTCAAGTCTCACCTCTGACACACGTTACCTACTCTCTAAGACTAGAAGATGCCAGTCAGCATTGGTGGAGGGGGTTTCCTGATCTGGGAGCTCCCTGTGTCAACCCCAGATGTCCTGACACTGTACCTCACCCTCTAGTAGAATGTAAGCTCCTAGAGGGCAGGGACAGATTCTTTTTTGTCTTCGTATGCCCAGTGCCTAGCTCCAGTGCTAAGCACCACGGTAGGGTTTCAGTCAGTGCTCATCAGATTGAATTAAATGGTTACAGATTAATGAACTGAGGCCAACATAGAAGGTCTGGACACACATTCCCATGACATTCCCATGGCTCTCGTCCACTTTGTGGCTGCTGGGGGAGGAGGGCCAGGAGTTTGACCAGAGTCCCCGGGCCCTCCCTCCATCGGTCTCTTCATTCCTAGAGCCCCCTTCAGAGGACACTGACACAGGGCACATCGAGCCCAATTCCATCTACGCCCTCTCTGGAGCTCCCACCATCGTTCTGACCATGGCAGGAACTTCAGGGATAGTCACCTTCATCGGGGGCATAATGTACTCTGTGATCAACAGAAAGGCATTGATGTAAGGAAGACCTCCCCTTCCTCGGGTAATTGGTGGGCATTCCTGGGGCGTGCCAAAGCAGCCCTCCTCCTGGGGTGGCATGGCACTAGGCGAGCCATGTAAAATTCTGTAACCCATCCCTTGTGGGGGCAAGCCAGGACCTTGTGCTTAATGGCCAATGTCATTGTCATAGAATAACTCAGCTTTTTATAACATAGCCCCTATGAATTTTGCTGCCTTGAGGCCAAGCCCCATTGCTGCATCCTAGTTCCGTCTCTGAGGGAATCTAAGTAGCAACACGCACTGCTTATAGATCCCATTGGCCCAGCCCGTGTCTTCTACCAAGAGGACAGCTCTCTGCCCTGCCATGAAAAAGACAGCATTCCCCCATCACCTACTGGGCCCCAAACACCTCCTCTCCTTGCTCAATCCCAATTAGGGACTGAGGAGGGGAGCCCTCTCCTGTTTCTCCATCTCTCCAACTTCCCTCTCCTCTCTCCTTTGCAGGAAAGGAAGAAACAGTAAATGTGGGTGTTTCTGAGCCTGGAAGACCCATCCCTTCAGCCTAGGAGGTAAAAGCAAAGATGGAATGGAGGGAAGCCTGAAAAGAGACATGGAGCATAAGATGTCCTGCCTGGGGAGACCTTAGACCATGGAATGTCAGGCCTTAGAACAAGGAGTGTCAGGGCTTGGAGGACCCTGAGAACAGGGAATGTCAGAGCTGGGAGGGCCCTTAGAACAGGGAATGTCAGAGCTGGGAGGGCCCTTAGAACAGGGAATGTCAGGGCTTGGAGGACCCTTAGAACAGGGAAGGTTAGAGCTGTGAGGGGCCTTAGAACAAGGAATGTCAGAGCTGGGAAGGGCCTTAGAATAAAGAATGTCAGAGCTGGGAGGACCCTTAGAACAGAGAATGTCAGAGCTGGGAGGGCCCTTAGAACAGGAAAGAGCCCTCCCTGGGGCCCATTGATATGAGATGTGATAGCACTGATGGCATGAGGAGCCAAAAGCATAAATACAATGTCAGAGCTGGGAGGAGCCTTAGAACAGGGAATGTCAGAGCTGGGAGGGCCCTTAGAACAGGGAATGTCAGAGCTGGGAGGGCCCTTAGAACAGGGAATGTCAGGGCCAGGAGGATCCTTAGAACACAAACTCTTAGAAGTATAGAACACAGAGCCATCAGGAACCTGATCCTGCATCAACTTGCTGTACTCCCTCGGATAAATTGCTTGCCCTCTCTAAGCAGGTCAGTCTAGGTGATCTCCAAGATTCCTCTTCACTCTGAAATTCAATTCAGTTCAATTCAATTCAACAAGCAATTTTCCAGAACCTACAGTGCACGAGGCACTAGAGACAATTTGCAGAAGAGTTTTTCTCTGTCCCTGCGGGGCTCACAGTCTAATCAGGGACCAAGAAATGCGGACAGAACTGTAATATACAGTATAACACGCTGAGGGCATTTCCACTGTTACTCTTCAGTCACGTCCAACTCTCTGTGATCTCATTTGGGGTTTTCTTGGCAGAGATACTGGAACAGTTGGTCATTTCCTCCTCCAGCTCATTTTATAGATGAGGAAACTGAGGCAGACAGGGTGAAGTGACTTGCCTAGGGTCACACAGCTAATGGGTGTCAGAGGCCAGATTTGAACTGAGGAAGATGAGTCCGGACTCCAGGCTCAGCACTCCGAGCACTATGGCGCCACTTAGTGGCCTACTAAGTTCATCAGAGAGGTACAAAGTGCTGCATGAGATCAGGGGCGGCTGGGTAGCAATGTTGCTGCTGAAGATGGAAAGGAAGGTCACTCCCAGGAACTGTGTTAGCAAAGGCTCAGCGGTGGGAGAGTACAGGTCCTGTTAAGGTCTAGAGTATTGAGCATCTGTGATAAGACAAGAGAAGACCAGGAAGAGCCTTAAATGCCAGGCTGAGGAGTTTGAACATTCTATAGTTCTAGGCTTCTCCAAGAGCCTGGAGCATCAGGCTGCTGGGGAAGCAGGCCAGCAGAGACAGACTGTGGCTGTAGGCAGGACATCTCTCCTCCTGACATGATACTAACACCGGCCCTCTTCTGTCCCTGAAGGTCTGGGCCAAGTGAGAGCAGGGAGGCAAGGTAGGAACACAATGGCCAGCCTCAGGCCCCCTCAATGAAAAGCAGTGAACCAGCCAGTGTGGCATCATAGGAAAAACCCTGACTAGGGGGTCAGAAGACCTGGGTTCAAGTTCTACTCTCCTACCTAGATGTGTGACCTTGGGCAAGTCATTCTATTTCTCTGAGCCTTGGTTTCCTCATTTGTAAAATGAGAGGATTATACTCAGTGATTCCTAGGGACCCTGTAGATGCAGCCTGTTTTACAGCACTTCTTAAACTGTGAATCAGGACCCCACAGAGGGTTGCATAACTGAATTCAGGGGCATGAAAAATTTGGCAACAGTAAAAGGTTTCTGAACAAGCAATGATCAAAAATTAATTCCAAATCAAACATGTAATGAATCTGAGGTGTTTCTGGCAGCACTTGATCTGTTTTGCATCACGCAACTTTTCTGTAGCCTTGGGTCTGAGCACAGCACTGACGGTTATAAAATCAAAATATTGATAAACTCTGGAAAACGTTGAAGATGCTCTGGTCCTGCAGTATCAAATACTCCACCAAGATTTAGCTCTTTATGTAGAAATAAACAAACACATCTATCTCATGAGTATGCAAATTTGCTTCCATCTTTAATAAATGGTAAAATTATATGTATGCCAAAGAATTGTTTCAAAATAAATTTCTTTATTATTTGTTATCAGTAAATGTTTGATTTGTATACCTATTTCATATACCTAGATACCCAGGGTTGCGTAAAAATTTCTCGGACAAAAAGGGGTTGTGAGTGGAAAAAGCTTAAGAAGCCCTGGTCTAGTACACTCTGAAGGTTTGGTCTATCCCTGCAGAAACTGGCTGTATACACACACACACACACACACACACACACACACACACACACACACAGAGAGTTCCCTTCCCCCTCCTTGTCTCTGGCCATCCATCCACAATCACACACTTTTTGACTGGCTCCCCTGAGTGTGGCCCAAAGGCCAAGACTTCAGGCACCAGAACTCATTGCAGCCCATACCATAAATGGGTGAGTCCCTCTAGGTACACGTAGAGTTACAGAATTCAGCTCGACAGATGTCTTACCCTGCCAGCAAGCTGCTAGTTCTAGCTATCTCTGTCCAACTCACCCAAACCCAGCCCTTTCCCTTTCCCTTTCTGGGAAATAGAAGGGAGGGTGAATGGGGCCCTGAGTGGGCTAGGTGTGATTTGCCTTAGAATATCTGTTTCAGGAAACACAGCACGGCATCGTGGACTACAGAACTCAGCCTCCTCGATGCACAATTTGGAGGGCCTGGGTTTGAATCCTGGCTCTGCTCTTTACTACTGGGGTAATACCAGGAGTCACTTAATCCCTCTGTTGTTGTTTCCCTGATGTAACATGAGGACTTTGGATCACTAAGGTTTCTTCCCTCTATGAGCTGAAAAACAAGGGTTAGACTGAATGATCTAGAAATAAACACACCCAATAGCAATTACAAAGCCCAAAGAATGGAGATTCATGGGTTGATATCAATCTGTAAGGACTTGTCCAGTGTCTGTCCTCAGTTCTGTGTTGGTCAACATTTTTCATCAGTGGTCACATATATTGCAGGCTCATCAAATTACCAAATGGTATGGAGCCAGGAGGGAATGTTAATATATCGTACAACAGAGGCAAAATCCAAAAAGATCACGTCAGGCTAGAACATTGGGCAAGATCTAATAAGACAAAATGTAATGAGGACGAACGCAAAGTCCTACCTTTGGGTTCAAAAAATCAATTTCAAAAATATAAATATAAGATGTCAATTTTGCCTGGAAAGGTTAGCTGGAGCCAAGTTGTAAAGAGCTTTAAATGCCAAACAGAGGAACTGGAGGAGGTGATGATGGGGACAATGGGGAGCCATTGGAGTTTACTGAGTAGGGGAATGACATGGTCAGGCCTGAGCCTTTGGAAAAACCATTCTGGCAGCTGTGTGGAGCATATATCAGAGGGAGCATAGACTGGAGGTAAGAAAGCCAATTAGAAGCCTATTGCAACAGTCCAGGCTAGAGGTAAGGAAGGCCTGAGCTAAGGTGGGAGCCATTTAAGTGAGAGGAAAGGGAGAAAATAGGCATTTATTAAGCACCTACTATATGCTGGGCACTTTACAGTTATGATCTCATTCAATTCTCACCTCAATCCTGGGAGGTGAGTGCTAATATTATTCCCATTTTACAGCTGAGGAAACTGAGAGTTTGTGTCTCCCAAACAGCACAATCCTGGGTGGGGCCAATCCTAGTTTTTGCTTCACAGATAACCACAGGTCCAAGAGTTCAGAGACCTGGCCTCCCAGAAGGGGATTTCCTGAACAGCAAAAGTCCTTGGAGAAACTCCCATGTGACTGCAAAGCCTGGAGGAGCAAGGACAGGACCTCGTGACTTGGAAAAACAAGGGTCTTACTGGATCTTACTCTACCACCATGCTCCCCTTCCCCCATTACAGGGAGTGATTCTGATGGCGAAGGTCCAATGGGAAGGGCTCGGCATGTTCAGCAGCCTCGACTATGATGCCTTCTAAGGGATCATGGGCTGCTGAAGCATTTTACGTGTCTTCCGTGTGTCACTGGGCTTCTGAAAGTCCTGTGAATCTTCTTCCTCTAAAGGCCAGCCAACCCAACCTAATCCAGCAAGCAAGCATTTAGTATGCACCCACCATGAGTCGAGCACCGTGGGCAGTTCTGAGGATATGAAAACAAAAGGCCTCTACGGGTGCACCATAGATAGAGCACTGGCCAGGAGTCAGGCTAGACCCGAGTTCAAATCCAGCCTCAGACACTAACTAGATGTGCAGCCCTAGGCAAGGCACTTTACCTCTGCCTGCCTCCATTTCCTTCTCTGTCCATAAGGACAATAATAACACAAGTTCCAGGGTTGTTGTGAGGATAAAAGGAGTTCGTGTTTGCAAAATGCTTAGCACCATGCCTGACACATAGTAGGCCTTATACAAATGCTGGCTATTATTATTATTAAAAGGGAAACAGCTCCTCATGTTTTATGGGAGAACAATACCTGCACAGATAAATACCTACAAAAACAACAGAAGGTCAGTTTTGGAAGGAAGGCCCAAGCAGTATAGGGGGGGCGGGGGGGGACCAAGGGGAAAGCAGGGAAAGGGAAGGAAACACACATTTATTAAGCACCTACTATGTGCCAGGCACTATACAAAGCTCATCACAAATATTGTTAATTCAATCAGAAAAGATCACATGCAGAAAGTGATATTTGAGCAGTTTTGAAGAAAAGAATGGATTTCGAGAGACAGAGGTGTGGTGGGAGCACCTTCCAGGCCAACGCAAAGGTGTGGTAATGGGAAGTGGAGTGTCATGTGAGAGGAACAACAAAAAGGCCCATTTTCCTGGTTCTTTCTCAGGCCCTCATCCTTGCCCTGCCTACACTCTCTTTGTTTCCCTATCTCAACCCCTTGGTGGAACCAGCTGAACTCTACACCAACATATAGTTTCAAATCCTTTGCCTCTTTATTCTGTGGCCAATTCAGACCCCCAAACCCTAACGCTGGATTAGCCCCACCATCTGCCTTCTTCGCTCCAATTCCCATTCTGCTGAACGGACTGAAGGAAGTCCCAAAACCATCCTGACTGGGCACACCGCACACTGATGTCATTCCATCTCAACTGGG